CAAATCCTTAGCTGTGCGGGCGTGCAGCCCTGTCAGAACCCGTGCAGCCAAGCTCAAGAAACAAAGCCAAACCAGAGAGTTTGCACGACATACTGCGCGGCAACTGCGCGGGCGCGTATCCTTGGCTGTGCGGGCGCGCATCTTTATCAGAACCTGCGCAGCCAAGCTCAAGAAACAGAGCCAAACCAGAGAGTTTCGCGACATCCTGTGCGAGTCTCCGTGCGGGCGCACGACTTGCTGCGCGGGCGCACGACTTGCTGCGCGGGCGCACAGCTTTGCAATGCGAGCGCGCATGCAAGGGCCTCGTTTTCTCGTACCCTCAAAGTTGCGGCCGTGCAATATTGTGAGAGGGCGCACATTGCTAAAGCGCGAGCGCGCAGAATTTGTGTGCTGGCGCGCACCGCTAGGTTTCTGATTTCTTTGCGCCTTGTTGCTTAAGTTTCTTTCTTTTGGGGAGCCACATATATATAGTCCGGACACTTTGGAGAGAGACTGACTTAGTTCTAAATTCAGAATTTTAGCTTAATCTAGAGAGAGAAAGTGGATTATTACTCAAGTTTCCTTTATTGTATTCAACTTTGATCATGTGTAATCTTCAATCAAGCAACACTTCAAGTTTTCATCTTTCATTAATCCTTTCTTTAGTAATCTCTAATACTTTCTTTTAGCTTTATTTATTTTCTTTATTGTTGCTTATTTTTTTTAGTCTTATTAGTTCATCTAGTTATTATTGATTTCATTATTCTTAATCATGTTTTGTTTTGAGTTTCTTGAGTTTATTTCTAGTTTTGATATTATGTTTAATCTCCCTTCTCTAGGCTAATTTCTTAGGTAGGGGAAGGGGGTGGAAAATATGTGTTGATATTGGATGGATGATGATGGTTGGATTGAACTCATGCCATAAATTGATGAAAGACATGATTTTTGATAGCTTGAGATTATTGTTGCACTTTATTTGATGTTTTCTAGTTTAAATGCATGAAAGTGATTTGAACTAGATTAAGATCATCTCTATTTTCATGATTGCATGAGAATGAAGTATTAAAGTGGAGTTTTATGGATTGTGCTTCTTTATTCTCTTGATTTGATTGTAACTAATAGGATGCATGAGAATGATCCTTATTAGCATAGACCCTTTTTCATTGATTTGCCTAGACTATTGAATGAGAATGAATTGTTTAGATAGAATCTTGTGTTCTTTGGCATGTATTTCATGATAATCATTATTATTCCCCTCTTTTTAATCATATTTGACACCCCCGTATCCCTAGCGTCATTCTCCCTTGATTTTAAACATCATCTTCTTTGCTTATTTGTAGTTTTAGTGCTCTTTACTAAAAAACCGACACAAACGATCCCCTTTTTACTCTTGCATTAGTGAATGTTGATGTTGAATTAGTGTGCTTCCCCAGTAGTTCGACCCTTTACTTTCCACTAACTAGTTTGGTGTAAGTTTAGATATTATAAATGATTAATTTGATTAGGGTAGTAGTTTAATTACTTATGTAACCCTCGATCAAATTTTGGCGTTGTTGCCGGGGAAGCGGCTTGTTTGGTGTCTACTTTTGCTTTTGTTAGAGTCATTGTACTTGATTTTCTTTTTGTTTTGTTTGTTTTATCATCCTTGTCATTGCTAATTGTTTGCTTAGCTTTGGTGAATGCTTAGGAGGTCTCAAGGATCACCCTCACATCAAATTGACCACAAGATTGACCGAACTTTGAGACAAGTCCGTAGGCTTTATTAAGAAGAAGGAAGAGGTTTTGGTGCTATAGTTATAGTGAGAGTGATTCTTACTCCTCAAGTTTGCAAAAAGGATCAACGGCGGGACAAGAAGATGTTGTTTTGTTTCGTGAGTTCAGAAATCCGGAGAATTATGAGCTTACGGGAGGAATTTTGCTACCCGTCACGGAAACCAACTTCTCAATCCATCCTCATTATACTAGAATGGTCCAATCGGAGCAATTTTTCGGAAGTGCAAGTGAGGACCCTATTGAACATTTGGACCTATTCCTTAAGTTGTGCGCAATGATGCAAACCAATGAAGTGAGCCAAGATTACATTCGTATGCACATCTTCCGGCAATCTCTCACCGGACGAGCAAAGAAATTGATAAAGCAAGTAAAGCCTAACTCTCTCACAACATGGAGGGAGGTGGTAAAGGCGTTCTTGAAGCAATTTATCTTCTAGGAGAAGACTGTCGAAATGAGAAGGAAAATTGCATCATTTGAGCAAGAAGCCAATGAAAGTCATGGTGAAGCTTAGGAGAAATTCAAAGATTTGGTGCAAGCGTGTCCTCACCATGAGTACAATCAAGGGTTGCTCATGCAGTTTTTCTACGACAGATTGGAGCCCATGTCAAGAGCCAACTTGGATGCGGGGGCGGGTGGTTTAATCAAAATCCCTCAAATCAAGTTGAAGCCACAATAGAAGAGGTAGAAAAGAACTACTCTTGGGGGGCCGAATAAGAAATGCTCCAAAGAAAGGTGTTATTTATGAATTGGAGAAAGTTGATAAATTGCAACATCAAATTGATCAACTAACAAAAGGAGTTAACTCTTTCTCTTGTCAAAATTGCGGAGGAACGAACCATGATACATCTTATTGTGGATGTTTGAGCCTCGAGCATGTAGCGTCATACAACACAAGGCCAGAAGGATTTAGAGGAAGCGGCGGTGGAGTAGCTTGGAGACAAACACCACACGGGTTTGCATCTCAACCTCAACAATGGAACCAACAAGCTTAACCTTTCTACAATTCCAACCCTCAATATCAAAATCCACATCCATCTCAACACCAAAACCCAAGAGGAAGTTACCCAAGGAACAACCAATACAACAATCAAACCCAAGCACCTCAAAGGAATCAAGAACAAGCAGTTCAAGCGGAGCTAACACAAACTCAACTCCTTCAAGCCATGCATGCACAAATGCAAACTTTTGGGCAACAAATGCAAGAAATAAGAGCTCACTACAAGACGGTTTATTCACAACTATCTCAATTGGCCTAGAGAACTCCTTTCTATTCACCATCTACTCTACCCGGACAACCACAACCTAACCTTTCTCATAACATTGAGGTCGGGAACTTCCTATGAAGGACAAAATGAGGGGGATAGTGAGGAAAAGAAGGGAGGAGAAGCGAGTGTGAATGAAAACAAGAGAAGTGAGAAAGAAAAAGTTGATGAGATAGAAGGAGTTTCGGAGGAGAAGAAGATTGAAAATGGGAAGACAACTTCAATTCCTAGTGAGGCTAGGAATCTTGATGGTCCGGTTCTTTTTCCCGGTTGGCTTGCGGAGAGGAAGTTGAATGACAAGTTTGAAAAATTCCTTAGTGTGATGAAGAATTTGCACATCAACCTCCCTTTCCTTGAAGTTGTGACAAAATGTCATCTTACTCCAAGTTCCTCAAAGATATTCTCACCAACAAGAGGAAGCTCACTGATGAGCTTATCACACTTCCACATGAAGTGAGTGCTCTTGTCCAACATAAGATTCCCAATAAAGAAAAAGACCCGGAAGCTTCACTTTGCCGGTGAAAATTGGGAACATGGAAGCTAGGGGCGCCTTAGCTGATCTTGGAGCAAGTGTTAGTTTAATCCCTCTATCCATTGCTAAAAAACTCAATATAGAGATGATCCCTACAAGGAAGACAATTCAATTGGCCGTTTGGTCGGTGAAATTACCTTGTGGAGAGCTTGAGGATGTTCTAACTCAAGTGGGACACATCTACGTGCCTTATGACTTTGTAGTGATGGACAAGGAGGAAGATGTTAACACTCCTTTAATTTTGGGACGTGAAGCTCTTAAAACTTTGGGGGCGGTCATCAATTGCAAGAACGACACCATCACGTGTGAGGTGGCCGATGAGAAGATTGTCATTGAGTTTTCTAAGTTGCTCAAGACCCCCATGGTTGAAAAATTCTATAGAGTTGGTGTTGTGAATGAGGAGCTAGATCGCTTGGGGAGGGTCATGATGAGGCCTTAATATCCAATGATAGAAGCTCTAACATGCAAAGAAGAGTTCCACTATCAAGAGGCAAAAGTGTTTGTCATTGCAATGGAGGAATCCTCAAAGGAGAAGGTTGAACAACAAGTTTAGATCGAGCTTGAGTCTAAGGAGGAGAAACTGAAGGAGAGTTCTAAGCCTCCTCCCAAGGTAGAACTCAAGCCCCTTACCCCTTCTTTGAAATATGCTTATCTTGATAAAGAGGGAAAATACCCTATTATTGTCAATGCTACCCTAGATTGTCTTAATTTGGAAAAAATACTTGATGTTTTGAGGATGTGATATGGTATAGCATTGATGATATCAAGGGTATTAGCCCTTCTTTATGTATGCATCGTATTCATCTTGAAGATGATCATTCCACCTCCATTGAACCTCAAAGGAGGTTGAACCCCAACCTCCAAGGGGTTGTCAAGAAAGAAATTTTGAAACTACGTGAGGCGGGCATCATCTATGCTATCTCCGATAGCAAGTGGGTTAGCCCGATTCATGTGGTTCCAAAAAAGGGTGGGATGACCATAATCAAGGGTGAAGGAGGAGAGGAAATCTCCACCCGAACGGTGACCGGGTGGAGAATGTGTATTTATTATAGGAGGTTGAACAAAAATACCAAGAAAGATAATTTCCCTCTCCCATTCATGGACCAAATGCTTGAGAGGCTCTCTCACCATGCTTTCTTTTGTTTCTTAGATGGGTATTCCGGAATCTTCTAAATCCCTATCCATCTAAGGGATCAAGAGAAAACTAATTTCACATGTCCATATGGGACATTTGCATACTGAAGAATGCCATTCGGTTTATGCAATGCTCTTTCTACCTTTCAAAGATGCATGACCTCCATTTTCTCCGAAATTCTTGAAAAAGAAATTGAAGTTTTCATGGATGATTTTAGTGTTGGTGGCTCGTCTTTTGACACTTGTCTTTTTCACCTTGAAAAAGTTTTGAAAAGGTGTCAAGAGACGAGTTTGGTTTTGAATGGGAAAAATGCCATTTCATGGTCGAGGAGGGCATTGTCCTCGGCCATAAAGTTTCAAAACATGGCATTGAAGTTGATCCGGCCAAAGTTTTGGTGATTGCGAAATCGCCCTCTCCTACTTCTATCACGGGAGTACGGGCTTTTCTTGGGCATGGCGGTTTCTACCGGAGATTTATCAAAGATTTTTCGTCAATCGTCAAACCTTTGACAGAATTACTCATAAAGGATGTTGCTTTTAACTTCAATGAGGCTTTCCTTGAACCATTTCGTAAGCTCAAGGAAGCTCTCATATCCTCTCCCGTTGTTCAAGCTCCGGATTGGAGCTTGCCTTTTGAGCTAATGTGCGATGCGAGTGATTTTGCAGTGGGTGTCGTGCTAGGACAAAAGAAAGAAGGAAAATCATGTGTCATCTACTATGCAAGTAGGAATTTTGATGAAGCTCAAAAGAACTATACAAAATAGAGAAGGAAATGCTAGCGGTTGTGTTTGCCTTTGATAAGTTTAGGTCCTATATTATTTGTTCTAAGGTGATTATGTACACGGATCATATTGCGATGCGATATCTCATGAATAAGAAGGAAGAAAAGCCTCGACTAATCCGTTGGGTTCTCTCTCTTCAAGATTTTCACATGGAAATGAGGGACAAAAAGGGAGCGGAGAACTACGTTGCGGATCATTTTTCTTGGCTACCTTTTGAGAACAAAAGTGATGTACTAATCAATGATGAGATAGGATTTGAAGCTCTCATTGATCTAGATTCAACATGCAGTCATTCCCCCAGAGTTTTCTTCTCAAAATGGATGTACCAATTATCTTGCTTGTGGAGTCATTCCCCCGGAGTTTTCTTCTCAACAAAAGAAGAGGTTTTTCAAGGAAGTGAGGAGGTACTTCTGGAATGACCCATACTTGTACAAACAATGTGGAGATGACCTTTTTCAAAAATGTGTTCCAGATCATGAAATCAAAGGAGTTCTTGAGCATTTCCATTCACTACCATGTGGAGGACATGGGGGTGTTGATAAGACGGTGGCAAAAATTTCTCAATCTCTATTGTGGTGGCCAACGATGCATAAGGATGCCCATAAGTTCGTTTCACAATGTGATAGGTGTCAAAGAAGTGGTGGCATAACCAAAAGGGATGAAATGCCTCAACAAAGTGTCTTGGAAGTTGAGCCCTTTGATGTTTGGGGAGTGGACTTTATGGGGCCTTTCGTTTCTTCTTGTGGAAATCTATATATCTTGGTAGCAGTTGATTATGTGACAAAATGGATTGAAGCCATACCCTCTCCTAACAATGATCACAAGGTTGTGCTTAAGCTTCTAAAGAAGATCATTTTTCTAGGTTTGGGATTCTAAGGGTGGTAATTAAATATGGAGGCTCCCATTTTGCCAAAAAGCAATTTGAAGCTCTTCTCAAGAGATATGGCGTTCATCACAAGGTTAGATTAACTTACCACCCTCAAACTCAAGGACAAGTGGAGGTCTCGAATCGTGAAATCAAGAATCTACTTGAAAGGATGGTGAACAAATCAAGGAAAAATTGGTCTCTCAAGCTCAATGACACACTATGGGCTCTTAAGACGGCGTACAAGACTCCAATTGGCACGATCCCCTATAGGTTGGTCTACGGAAAGGCTTGTCACTTGCCGGTTGAGTTAGAATACAAGGCTTGGTGGACCATCAAGGAACTCAATATGGATTTATCATTGGCCGGCGAGAAGAAATTGCTTAAGCTCTATAAACTTGAAGAGCTTAAAGATGATGCTTATGAGAGCTCAAGATTGTATAAGGAGAAGACCAAAAAGTGGCATGACCAACATATACGGTTTAAGGTTGGATATAAGGTTTCGCTTTTCAACTCAAGGCTTCGTTTGTTTCCAGGTAAAGTCAAGTCCAAGTGGTCGTGTCCTTTTGTGATATTGAAGACTACTCCTTATGGTTCTTTTGAGTTAGATGCGGATGGTAATAAGTTTATGGTCAATGGTCATCGTTTGAAGCATTACTTTTGCAAGGAAGAAGTTGGTCTCATTGAATGTCTAATGCTTGATCCTTTGGATCCTAAGACTCCCCCTTGATGAACTTTTCTCATGGTCAAGCTAGTGACCACATAAAGAAGCGCTTCTCGGGAGGCAACCCGAGTTTCTAACCCTTTTCTACTCTTCTTTTTTCTTCTTATACCGATTTCAAGCTTCTTATTTCCATTTGAATTTCATTTTTACCTTTTTGGTTGATAGGGGTTTGGATGATGAGGGGTAAAGACATTTTCCATGTAGAAGATGAGAGAAGAAAGAATTTCAAGGCAGCACTGCGCGCTCTTTGTGCGCCTTGTGTGCAGGCGTGTAAAGGAATTGTGCGCGAGCGCGCAGCCCTGTCAGAACCCGCGCACAATTGGTCGAAATTGAAGATTTGAGGCAAAAACTTTGAGCGACCCTGTGCGCGACCCGTGTGCGGGTGCGCGTGTATCTGCGCGGGCGCGCAGAGTGCGTGCGTGGGTGCACAGAGCTGGGTAAATCGGGGCTAAAGTTTCTCTTCCCCATTTCACCCTCACATTTCTCCAACCAAATTTTCGTTCTCTCTTCCCTCTCCTCACAAACTCAAACCCTAACCCTTCAAATTCACCCATAACTCACAAATTCCCTTGATTTTCCATAAAATCCATCATACTTTTTCACTTTACTCACAAATTTACCCACTTTCTCTCTCTAAAATACCCAAATTTCCTCCATTTTCATGGTTGTGCAAGCTTGGTTGAAGGTGGTAGTCTTGGGTGTTCTCGGCGGTGTTCAAGCTTCTCCTTAGTAGTATAACTCTAAATTTTGCTACTTTATTGCTTATTTTCACTAATTTATGCAAAGGTTTGAGTTATTAAGCAAGGTTTAGCTTAAGTGAGTTTTTTGTGATTTTGGATTTCTTTGCTAAGGATTGGTTGGATTTTAGTGTGATATTTTGTGACTGTGGAACATGGTTGTTGGCATTATTGATTTTGAATCTATTTTCATGGAACTTATTTGAGTAATTTTGTGTTATTGTTAGTATTGATGATAATGCGACTATTTACATGAAAATTGCTTGTTAATCATAATATGTTGTGAATGTGTGCATTGTTGTTGATCTTAATTGTTCTTGGAGCTATTATTGTGTGGTTAGTTGTTGCTACTAACCTTTTGCAGATTGTTAAAGCTCGGTTTGTTGTTGTTGTTGTTGTTCAAATTTGGTTGAGTTCGAAGTGAGTTCCTACTTGGTTTGGTTGTCGGTGTGTTCTTTGAGATATTTGTATTGCTTGAGGCTGCAATGAGTAAAAGAAAGAGTAGATAGAATCCCCGGTTAGGAGTCAAGGAGCCTAGTGCCCAAGATCAAACCCAGGCACCCAATGTTTCCCTCAAACGAAATTCTTAAACAAGCTCCATTCTACTTTCTACAATGACCTTCAAAGCCGAAAGCTTAATCTCACAAGGCACTATGATCAACGTTCTATGAGGGCTTTTGGGATAGATGAAGACCTAAGGTCACTCCTTGGCAACATTAGGATGAGTGAGTTCATTAAACACCATCATCGAACATACAAAAAACTCACTTTTGAATTCCTAGCCTCCTTCGAAAAAGTACCATATGGGAATAATGAATTTCAAATTTCTTTCCAATTATTCAACAACCAACATACCATGAATCTTCGTGATCTCAATGCCTTGTTGGACTTTAACCCTGATGCAGATCTCCTTGCCCCATCCTTGAGCCTTTTCCCCGAGTATGATGCATTCCGTTGGTGGCGAACGATTACTGATTTCGACGAGTTCAATACAAGGTATTCGGCAAGCCAAATCATCCACCCTGCTCTCCGTATCCTTCACCGCATCTTGGGGTATGCGGTGTTTAGTAAGCAAGATTTGAGCAAGGTCTCACATGAAGATCTCTTTACTCTATGGGTTGCAACTAGAGAGGAGTGAAATAGCCCTTGGTGGGATGATAACTAGGATTGCTAAGAAGCTTAAGTATGAACGCTTCTTTCCCGCCTGTACTCAAGTTGGGACCAATAAGGATCTAGTCATTGATATCCAGCAAATGAGAAGGTCAAGGTTCATCCAAGAAACTGCCGATACCAATAATTTTCATGATTGGTGTGTTGAGCGCGAACACCATTGCATCTTGCCTTATCCCAGCCGCACATCTTTAGAGTGGAGTACTAGGAATGTGTGGAAAGTTCCGCAAGACAATGGTGTGTTGCCCACCGCCTTGGGTGGCGCAACAACAACAACAACAACATCAAGGCATGAGTAGCCTTGAGCAGCTAATGATGAGCATGCAACTTGGCATGCAAAGCTTGATTGAGAACCAGCAAGGTATGTTCATGCAAAGTCAAGCTCTCTTCGGTGCGGCCGTGGATAGAGGTGAGGTCACCACCCCAGTAAGTTACCCTTATTGGCTGCCTCAACAAGGCCCGGTCCCTCAATGGCAGGGATCGAAGCCTACTTGGCCCTATTGGCAAGGGCCCTCCTCCCAAGTCGTTCCCCGAGTAGACTATCCGACGGAAACCGAGTACGATTATCGTGCCCCAGGAGGGAGTGATTTTAGGGGTGACCCCAACTACCCTTATGTCGACCCTTCCCACCCTTCCACGCTTCACATTCCCGCCCCATTCGACCCGTTGCCTCAATGACAACAAGACCTCTATCGAGGTCACTATGGTTGACCCCCGGATTTCACCGGTGGTTGGGACCCGCATGGCATTCCTCCGGAAAGGTTCTCTTATGACCCCAAGGAAGATGGGGATGATGACAGAGCCGGCCCTAGTGGCCACTAGCCTCCCTCTTTTTTATTTCTCCCCTTTTCCCTTATCATTGTTTTTATTTGGCGCATCGCGGACGGTGCATTGCTTTAGAGTTGGGGGGGGTGTAAGAAACAAAGGGATGTTTTTTTTGGTAGTGCGGGGGAAGGTTTAGCATCATGCTAGTGTGGGGGGGACTCCATTTTAGGTGGTAGAGCTTGCATGGTTCGGTTGGTTCTAGCATGATTTGATGTTGATTGTTTTTTCTTGATTGTGATGATGATGTTTTAGGGCAATTTTGATGAGATCTTTCTAATGAGTTTTCAATGAAAATTTGAGTGTTTGTGTAGATGATGACGCTCCTAAGAAGGAAAATCCAAACTCCCGATAATCCAAATTTTCCTTGATCCAAACTTTGTAGATAGCTTTTTATTTCTATTTCTTCCTTTTGTTTATAGCTTTAGTCTCCTTCTTTGATTATTAACTTTTTTTTTTATTTTTGTTTTATCTTAGTAGTTTCTTTTGTTTTGGCTCATTTTTCAAGATTGGAAATGGAGATGAAGGAAGTTAAGGGGCAACTCGAGCTCCCTTGGTGAGATTGTATGATTTATCTTGTCTTCCATTTCAAGTGGCGTTTGGTGAGACCTTTCCTCTCTTCTATTTTCTTTTTCTTTGGGTTTTTAGTTTAGGTTTAGCTTAGGAAAAAGTTGACTGGTTTGAGGATGTTTGATTTTGGTTCTGTGGAACCTGGGATCATTGATGTTGTTATCGAACGATCACTTGTGTGACGATTGGGATTTAATTGGATCATATGCCTCGTTTGTGAACCTTTTTGATTTCTTCCTCTTTCTTTTGTTTTGTTTTCCCCTTTTTGTGTTACAAGCATGACTATGACAAGTTGAAATGATTTTTGATTTGGAATTTGCTCATTTATTTGGATTGGTTTGCCTCTCATGATGATGTGTCTTTGAATGCTTATCTTCCTAGTTGATGAGGGTTTACACAGTTTGAGAATTCTTAGGGTTGAGTTAGACACATTTTAAGCTAAGGTAGCACGGTTAAGAACTTTTGAGGACATTTGAACCCATAGCTCACGGGAAAGTGGTAAGATGGTGTTGCTCTCTATAGTGGATAGGATTACCTTTAGTTGGTATTTGCTTACTTCCCACCCCTTGTGAGGTCTAATATTGTTCAAGACTTCATCATTCTTGTTGAGCGGCATTTAGGATCCTTAAATATAAGTATCTTAATCCTTGTGTTGGCCTCTAGCTCCCGAGATCGTTACTAAGCAACTCTAGAGGAGGAAAAGGGCGTTTTTCATTTTTATTTGTTTTCCTTGTGTTTTGTTACAAATTTGGTTTTCACTTTTGCATCAACTTAATTGCTAACCAATTTGAGCCTTATTTCCCTTTCTTGACTTTACCATATTACTAACCTATCGGCCTATGTCTTACCGACCCTTGTAGTTAGTGAAGCATTGGCTTGTGATGTTTGAGTTTTGATATTGTTGGATATGAGCAAGAAAAATGTGTAAATTGGTTCAAGTATAGTTTTGAAAGTTGAACATGAAAAGAATATGCAAAAAGGCTTGATAAGAAAGATGCAATTCAAGAAGACCAAGTGAAGTTCAAAAAAAAAAAATGATGAAAAATGAATGAATGATGAAAAGGGATGAAGTAACATTGTGAGGTTTGTATTGAAGGTTGTAGTTTGAGTTTAGGTTCAATTCTTATGTTGTTCATGAGAGATGGCCACTCTTTTGCTTCACTTAGGATTTGCCACCAAAATTTTCAAATTGATTCCTAACCTTAACCCTTAGCCATGACATTACAACCCTAGTTCAGACCCTTGGATTTTAGAGGAGCGAGGTCAAAGACCGGTGGAGGGAGATAGATTTCAACCCTATGGAGAGAGTATTCATAGTTGATATGTCGGGATGATCTTATGATTCCACATAAAATTTCTTTTTCCGGTTCCCTCGAGGAATCATGAGGAGCTAACTAAGGGATGAATTGAAGCTAGTGGAGAGAACGTGGACCGTCTTGGTAGGGGCTAGGGCGGAGAATGAAATCATTAGTTCTCTATTCTTAGCTTAGGTTTGTCTCTTTCAACCTTGAGCATCTTAGAACGTGTTTCCCCTCTTTGAATTGAGAAAGGCAAGTATTCTTTGGTGCATTTATCTTCGTTTGAGTCCAAATGGAGCATTTCCTACCTTGAGGCTTGATTGGTTTTTCTAAAACCTTGTCATGTCATGTTTATTGTTTTTGTCTCTTTGTTTTAGTTTTCCTTTCTTGAGGACAAACAAGAGGCAAGTGTGGGGGATTTTGATGAGTGGCATTTATGCCACTCTTTTATCCTTTTTTCTCTAAGGATTCTCCCCTCATTTGCACTTGTTTGTCCCTTTTCTAAGCATTTTACCTTAGTTTTGTTTTCTCCTTTCCCTATTCATTTATCTTCCTTTTTCCTAGATTTTTACCTACTCTTTATTTTGATTCCCATGTTTGTGTTTTGTAGGTATCATATGCCGAAAGAGGGAGGACTTCAAGGAGCTAAGTAAGCTGTTCTACGCGACTACTACGCGGCAACTGCGCGGGCCAGCATCCTTGGCTGTGCGAGCGCGCAGCCCTGTCAGAACCCGCGTGTTGGGCCTGAATTAATATACGACCCAGTACATTTAGGGAACCACTCCATGATCAAGAAGTACAACAAATCAGACAAAGCGGCTTGATTGAAACAAGCAAGGAAAGCGAGATAGAGAATATCAATCAAGAAGATACTTACCAAAAATACACCTACAGAACAAGGAATGGAATAAATTAAAGAGATCTCCTACACTTTGAATATATTTTCAATATCTATGTAACCCTAGGAGTTCCTAGGTATAAATAGGAAAAATATAACAATCATGTACGCTCACTGATATTTCAATATAAACTAGTTATTTTAATTTTGTCTACGGATCTGCATCCCTGCTGAACAAGGAAGCCTGTCCTTACTCAGTATTGTGTCTCTAAACTCGTCTTTTTGTTCCTATTGAATAACTATTGTATTTTTTTTATTATTTACTGCCTTGTTATCATTCTAAATTGCTTTATATATTATTGGTGGAATGATTGTTATTACCCCTCAAAACCTAGCAAATTCTTAGATGTCCTAGCTGAGATTGGCCTAAACAATTTGGTGCCCACTGTGGGGCTGATAATCAATTAACCTACCAATTCACCAAAAATCAAGACAATCACCATGATTGGACAGCTAGTACCCTTAACCATTTCTGAAATTAATGAAGGAATGAACGCATTCTGTCAAACCTTAGACCAGCAGAAAAGCCAAATCGAAACATTGTTGGCCCAAAAGGTTCAAACCGAAGCCAAACTCACTAGCTTAACCAAACAAAATGAAGCCCTCCGTAGCCAAATACAATCAGTTGCATCCAAAACGGTTAACACTAGAAAAAGTACCGAAAGTATAGCCATGCAGCTTGATATGTCCGGAACCTTCCACACCCCTAACGGGGAAAAAGGATCTAACAGCAAGGAAATTCCCCTAGAACTAGATTCTCTGGATACAGGAACTCTCAAGAAGGAGAGACAGGAAGGAACTGAGCAGGGAAAAATAGAGAAGGTGGTTAAGGAGTACCTCAAGGCATTTGAGGCCAAGATTGCCAAAATCCCTGGAGTGCCAAAGCCCATGGAAGAAGAAGAAGCAGATGGCTGTATAGAGTCTCCTTTCTCAGAAGAGATTTCCATGGTAGAAGTGCCTAAGAGGTTCAGCACGCCCAACATGGCCATGTATGACGGAACAACGGACCCTGATGAGCACGTATCCCTTTTCAAGAAAAAGATGATGACGAGCTCAGTCCCTAGAGAGATCAGAGAAGCCATCATGTGCAAAGGCTTTGGAGCCACGTTATCAGGTCCAGCCCTAACTTGGTTCATTAATTTAGATAATGGGACAAATCGATCTTTTGCAAGAATGGTGAATCTATTCAAGATTCAATTTGCTAGTAGCAGAAAAATCGAGAAGCAATCCTCAGATCTGTATTGTGTTATGGAAAGACACGGAGAATCCTTGAGGGACTATCTTAACAGGTTTAACAAGGAGAAGATTGGGATACACAAATGCGATGCTCCTACAACAATCGAAGCATTCAGAAGAGGGTTGCTAGACCATAGTGAGCTCTATAAAGAGCTGACCAAATATCCCTGTACGACCTTCAAGGATGTGCAAGCCAAAGCTATGGCTCAAGTTAGATTTGAAGAAGATGTCTACGCAAGAAAGACCCCAGAGCTAGATCGCTAGTCAAGAAGGAACAACAATTTTCCCAAGAGAGACCATCGATTCAAACCGTAATAGCGTTCCCGCTTTGATGAAGGATCAGTCAATGTTGTCGAGGAAGAAGTCTCAGATTGGAGGAAAGATCCTGAACTCCCACCTAAATTGCATGAATACTGTTTCAATGTTAACCCTGTAGGAGTAATTAGGACCCTGAATAAGATGGGAGATACCGTGCAGTGGCCTAGAAAGAGTGTCAGGCTTGGAGAGAAAAAGGATCCATCAAAATGGTGCTACTTCCATTCAGATATTGGCCATACAATTGATGAATGCATTGCACTCAGAAAGGAGGTTGCCTACCTGTTGAAGAAAGGATATCTTAAAGAACTCCTATTAGACAGATCCAAAGCCCCAGGAAGGGAAAAAGAGTCCAGACAAGGTGCCCCCCCACCTCCTCCTCCAATTGTCATAACCATCTGCTTCATATCAGAAGGTTCAGAAGTGTGCGGCCTAACATACTCAGTAGCGAAGCGGCATGCAAAAGAAAGCAATAAGGATTAGTCCGAAAGAAGGGAAAGGTAAAAAATGGAGATCCCCATCATGTTCGAAGAGAGCGATGCAGTGGAAGGCCATCATGACGGCCTAGTAATTTCGCTCCCAGTTGCTAAGGAACATGGAAGCTCTGCAAACATCATCATGCTTGATACCTTGAAACACATGAACATCGATGAAAAGAACATCATCATCAAGTCAACAATGCTAGTAGGATTCAGTGGGGAAACCAAGAAGACAAGTGGGGAGATCACATTAGCCACCTATGCAAAAGGGGTCAATTTACAAGTCAAGTTCCTAGTGATCGACACTCTATCATCGTACAATATTATTCTAAGCAGACCATGGATACATGAGATAAGAGCCATCCCCTCCACGTATCATTAAGGTTTTAAGTTCCCTACCAGATGGGGCATTCAGGAAATCAAAGGGGACCTTAAGGAAGCTAAGGAATGTTACAAGATCGCCCTAAAAGCAACATCTGCAGAGAAGGGTCCAGTATAGCAATCAGAGGGTCAGCTGGGCCAAGAGAAGATGAGTATAGCAGAAGAACAAGAAGCCACAAAAGTCCAGCTAATCCCCAACCACCCAGATAAGAAGGTCAGAATAGGGTCAGAATTGAATTCAGATCTTCGTCAGCAAATTTATGAATTCTTAGAGAAGAAAAAGATGCATTCGCTTGGACTCACGAAGACATGAAGGGCATCCCCCCAGATGTGATCACCCACAAAATGAACGTAGACCCAATGCATACGCTAGTAAAGCAGAAGGGAAGAAAATTTGCACCAGAAAGGAACAAGGTCCTCAATGAGGAAATCCAAAACCTGTTGAAGACAGGAAAAATTAGAGAAGTAAAGTACCCAGAATGGCTTGCTAACGTAGTGGTTGGTAAAAAGAAGAACGGAAAATGGTGAATCTGTATTAACTTCATAGATATCAACAAGGCCTGCCCAAAGGATCCGTTCCCATTACCTCACATAGATGCCATGGTAGACGCAACAGCAGGGCACGAGCTGCTATCCTTCATGGACGCATACAGTGGGTACAATCAAATCCTAATGCACAAAGATGACCAGGAAAAAACCGCTTTCATCACTAGTCAGGGAATCTACTGCTACAAGGTAATGCCTTTTGGATTGAAGAACGCAGGAGCGACATACCAAAGGTTGGTGAACAAGATGTTTGAGGAACAGATCGGGAACACAATGGAGGTCTACATAGACTGCATGGTAGTGAAATTCAAGACGGCAACCGATCATGTCAAAGACCTTAGAGAAGCCTTCGTCGTCTTGAAGCAGTACGGCATGAAGTTAAATCCTACAAAGTGCACATTCGGAGTTCAGTCAGGAAAGTTCCTACGATACATGGTAACGCAAAGAGGAATCGAAGCCAGCCTAGACCAAGTCAAAGCCATCCTGGATCTGGAACGACCAAAGTTAAAGAAGGAGGTACAAAGCTTAATAGGGAAAATTGCAGCACTGAACACGTTCATCTCGAAATCTTCAGTCAAGAACAGAGCCTTCTACGAAGTCCTGAAGAAGAATAAGGAATTCAAATGGGAACAAGAGCACGACGAAGCATTTTAGAAGTTAAAGGAACTTAGCCAACCCGTTGATACTCTCTAAACCAAAAAAAGGGGAGCCACTCCAATTGTACCTCGCAGTATCTGAAGGGACGATCAGCGCAATCCTCACCAGTGAAGAAGACAAAGAGCAATTCCCAATCTATTACGTAAGCAAAACCTTACTCAGTGCGGAAACGAGGTACGCATCCTTAGAAAAAATCATTTTAGCTTTAGTTACTGCTTCAATAAAGCTACGCCCATACTTTGAAAGCCATTATATAAGAGTACGAACCAACTACCCCATCAAGGCTATCATGAGAAAGCCAGAAATGTCAGGGAGAATGGAGAAATGGGCCCTACATCTGAGCAGGTACGATATACAATATGAGCCCAGAACCGCAATTAAGTCACAAGCTCTGGCAGACTTTGTAGCAGACTTCAGCCCAAACCTTGAGGAAGAAGCACAGAAAGAGGTATTGGACTTATAGGAGCCAAAGGCTACATAGAAATGGACACTCCATACAGATGGCGCAGCAAACATACGCGGTGTAGGCCTGGGAGTGGTACTAACATCACCATAAGGAGACAAAATAGCACGAGCAACAAGGTGTAACTTCAAGGCCACCAACAATGAGGCCGAGTACGAAGCACTAATCACAGGGTTAACTGTCGTAAGATATATGAAGATACAACATCTAGAGGTAATCTCAGATTCCTTACACATGGTAAATCAAATAAATGGGGAATACGCAGCAAAGGACGCCAGGATGATAGCCTACCTAGAAGTCACAAGAAAGCTCATTAAGGAATTTAAGGAGTTCAAGATAGACCAAGTACTCAGAAACTTAAACACTGAAGCAGACGCCATGGAAAACTTGGGGTCAAATATTAACCCTGAAGAATTTGGAGCCATCCCCCTAGTACACGTACTCTCTCCAGCTATAGAAAAGGAGTCAACTATGAATGTCCACGAAATCCAAACAGACCCTACAGGGGAGGAAGAAAGCAGCTAGACGAAACCTCTCAAGGACTACCTCTTGGACAAAACAGTACCAGCAGGGAAAGTGGCAACCCAAGCACTTGCTCTAAAGGCCTCAAAGTATTTCCTAATCAGCAACATACTCTTCAAAAAGTCTTTAGCAGGTCCCCTCTTACGATGCTTAGAAAATGAAGAAGAGCAACAGGTCTTACAGTCCCTACATAGTGGTGAATGCGGAAATCATTTAGGAGGAAGAAACCTGGCCAACAGAGCACTCATGATGGGATACTACTGGCCTAGCATGAGAAAGGACGCCGCAGAATTTTCCAAGAAGTGCTTAGCATGCCAGAAACACGCACTTTTAACACATATGCCATTTGAAGAGTTGCACCTAACATTGAAACCTTGGCCATTCATGAAGTTGGGAATGGACATAGTAAAATTACCTCCATCATCAGGACAGAGAGGGTACTTTTTAGCAATGACAGATTACTTCTCAAAATGGTTCGAAGCAGAAGCCTACAAGGAAATCAAGGATAAGCATGTCATCTCATTTATCAAAAGGAACATCCTAAGAAGATTTGGAGTACCAGCAGAGATCATTACAGACAACGGGTCCCAGTTCATCAACAACAAAACCACAAAGTTCTGTAAAGAATGGAATATTTCCCTCATCATGTCTACACCAAGATACCCACAAGAAAATGGAAAAGTAGAGTCAAGCAATAAGGTCCTAATAAGCAACATGATGAAAAGGTTAGAAGGAGCAAAAGGGAAATGGGCAGATGAAATACCCAACATATTGTGGGCAGACATAACAACTCCAAAAGGCACCATAGGTCACACCCCCTTTTCATTAGTGTACGGATGCGAAGAAGTAATCCCAACAGAAGTAGAAGTCCCTACAGCAAGGTACGGGTTGATGACAGAAGAAAGGAACCAAGTTGAACTAATGCACAACCTAGACACGGTAGAGGAATTAAGGGAAGACACAAGAATGAGGATGGCAGCCTACAAAAAAAGCAAGGTCCTTCAACAAGAATGTCAGAGCGAAAGTTTTCAAATTAGGAGATTGGGTCCTCAAAAAGGTGTACGAAAATACCAGAGAAGTAAATGTAGGAGAGCTAGCGCCCAACTGGGAAGGACCATACAAAATCATCAAGGTAGTAGGAAACGGAGCGTACAGACTCATGAGCGGAGAAGGAAAAAAGGTACAAAGAAGTTGGAACGCATCACATTTAAAACTCTATCATTTCTGAAGAACAAAGGTACGTAGTTATCATTTCAATTTCGTTTTCTTTTTGCAAAAATACAAAATACAAAAAATAAAACAAAAAAGCAACAAAAAATAAGAAGAAAAACAAAAAAAAAAAAAAAAATCTCCAACGGCCAAAGGCAACACGACATGTACTCTTCTTCACCTAAACTTTGCCAATTCAATTTATATTCACTACGAGTACTGACTTTGGCATCGGAGGGCTGTTGGGGAAACCCGTGGCCACCCCTCACCCAATTCTATTTTGCAAGGACAAACAGCTACGCTGCCATACAAAGTACAACAAAGCACAAAAGACAACGACTATCTATCCCTGCGAGGAGCAAATCAATTATCCCCACAAAGCAGGAAAACACTAGCAGCACATACATGTGAGAAATATTACATCTGTACTACAACTGTAATACAAATGTAATACAATTGTGATACAATAAGAAACACAAGCATAACATAGCAAAAGAAGTAAGATTACTTAGTTGCGAAAAGTAACAAAATGAGCAAATCATCCAACTACAACAAGGCAGCACAAAAACAAAATAAAATATCCAACTGCACTAGGGCAGTAAAAACAAACATTCTTCAAGGAAATTTAAATATTGTTCAAAACTAACAGGTGACACAACACCATTGAAACTAATTCTCCCTAGTGTTATCAGCAGGGACCTTCTCTTCAGCAGCAGACTTGGAATCCTCAGCACCAACCTTGACATCCTCGTTCATGGGGGAGTCAACCTCTTCATCAACATAACCTAACAGCAATGTACCAGCATCCCTGCAGGAAAAGTTTTCTCAAAGGCAGACTTCTCAGCAGCATTATCCCACGTCCCATGCTTCCCTTGGTGATAATCCTCCATCATCTCCAAGCGTGCCTTTCCAAAATAATAACTAGCTGCATCAAAAGAGTCGTTTGCAGCCTCCTTCAGAGTATTTTTCAGCCCATCTCGATCTGCAAGGCACTGCTTGTACTTGGTCCTTTCAGTCTTCAAAGCGTCAGTGGCAGCCTTATACTTATCAACAAGAGCATCACGCTCCTTTTTCATAACATCATAAGCCTGAGTGAACTCTGACACCTTGCTCAACACACCAAGGCGCGACTAAAAGCTCTACAAAAGCACACAACAAGGTTAGGGGACACAAAGTGACACTCAAAATTGTTTTGCCGATTCTTTTATTTAGGGGTATACTATACCTAGAAAGCCTGCGCGACAGCCTCTTGAGAAAGGTCAGCGAAAGTCTGCGAGGATTGGCGCTCCTTGAAGGTTGGGAAGAGCAAATTACCCACATTGGGGGCCAGAGAATCATAAGAAGAGTTAACAACATCAATGTCAGCAGGAATATCAAGCTTCCTCTTAAAATTGGTACGAGGAGGGGGTGGAGGAGGAGCACTCCTTAGAGGCTTCACATTAGCTGGAGCAGGGACATCCTCTGAACCCTTAAAAGAGGCTCGCGATCTAATGCGACCCAAGATAGAGGAAGAACTAAGCAATTGATGAGACCTCAACGACCTTGAAGTATCTACAAGAAACATTACAAATTCAAAAGGGAATACAACAAGGAGTATAACAAGATCTATAAGGAACATAACGGACTCTATAAGAAGCATAAGAAGTGCAGGGATGTTGAAGCATAAAGGTTTTGATGATGAGGAACTTAAACTAAAGCAAACTCGACTAATAAAGGTTTTCAAGTGTTTGATTAGTTTAGGTGAAGTTGATCATGGTGATGGAAGAAGTAGCTGGAACTAAGAAGACATAAAGAGATCTTTATCAAAGAAGTTAAACAAATTAGAAGAAGAGTTCTCTAACAAGAACTAGTTCTCTAACAAGAATTGAGTTCCCTAACAGGAATGTTCCCTAACAGGAACTTGAAGACAGTAAGCTTAAGTTCTTTGGTGGAACTTAATAATCTTGGAGCTCAAGTAATCTACCTGAACAAAGGCGCGACGCATCAACTATTTTAGTTAAGGTTTTTATCTTCTAGATTATTGTTAATATGTTAAGTAGGTTATTGCACGAAATTTATTAGAGGCGTGACAAGTTGGCTTGGTAAATAAAATAATACGGAAAGTAATAAAAGATAGATTTTAGGAAAAGATTTTCTAAAAAGTTTTATTTCCTTTAAATCGGGTTGTTAAAAAGATAATTCTTTTTAACTAAATATATTTTTATCTTTATTTTTCGGAAAAGATTTTATTCACTTGATTTACATAAATCCGTGTTTTAAAGATAAGTTAAGTCAACTTATTTATCTTTTAGAAAACCTACTTTCTATACGAGTGTTACTTGTATAAATGGTAGAGAGCAATATGGTTTTAGGTTTTTGTGAGTTTATGCGTGAAGAAATCATTGGGCTATAATTGAGTAAGTTTACCAAGCTTCTAACTTGTCATATTAGTTTCGGATTTCGTGCATTGCTTACCTATCATACTAGGTATCGTACACTTGTATTGGGTTGGGTTATTTGGGTGAGTTTATTGTTTATTTTACACACAGTTTTGTAAGCTTCTTGGTGAGGCTGAGAGTTTTGTACTTTGGCAGTACGTGTAGTACTTTGGTGGTACGAGTGAATCTGAGTGTGGTGCTTAGGTTGGGTAGGATAGAGTCCTATCAAGTAGCAAGTCCAGTGAGGATCTTGTGAAACTAAATGTCCGCGTCTAATAGGTTGTAACTTGGTGTTTGCCCTATTATAATGAAGTTTGTGTGTTTGAAATCCCTAAGGCAGGGTCGAGGTTTTACTTCCAGTTGGGCCCTTGAAGGTTTCCTCGTAAAATCTGTGTGTGCTAGCAAGTTCCTATATGCATTGTTTATTAATCCGCAAAAAATAGTCATTAGGAACTCGATACAATTCACCCCCCTCTTGTATTAATCGTCTCAACTAACAATTGGTATCAGAGCAAGGTTCTCACGTGTAAGCAAATAACTTTGCTGAGTAAGTTCCCGGAGAGATGAATTACAAGGAGAAACTTGAAGAAGGGTATTCCACCCAACGTCCACCCATGTTCAATGGTAAGTTTTACACCTACTGGAAGAACAGGATGGAGATATTTATCAAGGCTGAGAATTACCAGGTTTGGCGTGTTATTGAAACTGGTGATTTTGAAATAACTGCAACCAATGACAAGAACGAGGTAGTTCCTAAACTTATTTCTGATTATGATAAGGAAGATTATCAGAAACTTGAATTAAATGCTTTAGCTATAAAGTATTTGCACTGTGGACTTGGACCTCATGAACATAATCGTATCATGGGATGCAAGTCTGCTAAACATATTTGGGATCTACTAGAGGTAACTCATGAAGGTACCAATGAAGTAAAACGTTCTAAAAATGATTTATTGATGTCTAGATATGAAAGGTTTCAAATGCAATAAAAGGAATCTATAGAGGAAATGTTTACTATGTTCAATGATATTATTAATGAATTGAACTCCCTTGGCAGACACATTCCTATTGATGAACAGGCAAGGAAGATCTTAAGGAGCCTACCACAAGATGAACGATGGAGATCCAAGGTTAATTCCATGCAAGAAGCCAAGGACTTCACGAAGTTTAACATGGAACAACTAGCTGGATCATTGATGACTCATGAACTTCACCTGAGTTCCAACTCTGAAAGTTCTAAGAACAAGAGCCTTGCTCTAAAGGCTCAAGACTCAGAGGAATCGGAAGCTGATGAGGAAGAAATGGCAATGCTAGTTAAAAAGTTCAAAAGGATAATGAACTACAAGAAGTTTGATAGGAACGAGAAGTATGAAAGTTCCAGAAACACAACTTGTTTCAAATATGGGTCTAAAGATCACTTCATCAAAGATTGTCCTCTACCAGATGGTGAGAAAGTAAAGACAAAGGGAAAGAAGCAATCCAAAGAGTCAAGAGTCTATAAGCCTTACTTCAACAAGGACAATGTGAAGATAGCCATGCTAGCTTCTTGGGGAAATTCAGATTCAGAGGAAGAGGAAGATCAACCGTCAGAAGAAACTGCACATCTATGCTTGATGGAAAAAACTAATGAAAAGGCAAAACTGAAGGAACTAAAATTTGAGGTATGGTTTTCTCAAAAAGAACTTAGACATTTCTCTAAAGAAAACTTAATATTTGTTGTTTTAGAAATTCAAGAAGAATTGAAAGAATTGCACAGAGCTAAACAGCAAAGTGATGAAGCTTTGGTGACTTATAAAGAAAACTGTGGGTGGGTCGATAATATGAAATTTGATATTCAATATAGATTCTTTAATCTGTTTGATGAAAATAATTATTTGAAAGAAACTATAGACAGGTTGAAACATGATAACATAATGTTAAATGCATGTGGAACTATCCTTGATGAAACTCTGTCTTGAAACTCCTAATTCTGAAGTTCCTCCAATTGCTCAATATCCAAATTTTGAAAAACTAAAATCTGATTTGGAAGATATAAAAGCGGATAGGGCAAGACTTGAGGGGGAACATGAGAAAGCCAGGAAAGGTAAACAACCTATAGACTACAGAGTTCCAGATTGGATCACTAAAGCCCAAACCAAGAGAAAAGAAGGTTTGGGTTTCAATAAGAAGTTCCAAAAGGAAAGGAAGTATGTTGACCTGCCTAGTAGTATTGTTTGTTATTTCTGTGGAAAAACTGGACACAAACAGGTTAAGTGTCCTAATAAAGAAAAGAGTACATAGAAAAATGAAAAACATGTAGAACAGATTTGGATTAAGAAGAATGGTGAACCTGCTGCTGTTACATAGGAACCCAAGGAAACCTGGGTTCCTGAAACTAACGTTTGATTTCTTATGCAGGTTCTAGTGAGGGGGAACAACAATTGGTACCTCGACAGTGGTTGTTCTAAGCACATGACTGGAGACAAATCTAGATTTCTCTCACTGGATGCCTACTATGGGGGAACTGTGACCTTTGGTAATAACATGTCAGGAGATATAGTTGCGATTGGCAAAGTAGGAAGGTCAAGTTCCCATGATATTGATAATGTATTTTTGGTCGAGGGTCTCACTCACAACTTGTTAAGTATCTCACAATTTTGTGACAAAGGTAACTCTGTAAGCTTTACTTCCAATAAGTGCAGAATCATTCACAATGAAACTGTGAACATTATTTTAGAAGGAACTCGTAAAGGGAACACATATGTTGTGGATCTTAACGAGGTTCCTAACAACAGTCTAACATGTCTTAGTGTCAATGAGGATGATCCTCTATTATGGCACAAGAGATTTGGCCATGCAAGCTTTACTTTACTTGACAAATTGAGATCTAAGGAACTAGTGGAAGGACTTCCTTGCATTAAGTTTTTGTATGATAAAGTGTGTGATGCTTGTGTTAGAGTAAACAAACTCGAATTTCTTTTAAGTCCAAGAAGATGGTAGGTACCAAATGACCTTTGGAACTCATTCATATGGATCTATGTGGTCCTATGAGAATCCAAAGCAGAAGTGGTAAGAGATATGTTATGGTTATTGTTGATGATTTTTCAAGGTTTACTTGGGTTTTCTTTCTTGTTAGTAAATATGAAACATTTGATGAATTTGTAGCTTTTGTAAAGAAAGAACAGAGAAGAACAGGTAATCCATTGATTCACCTCAGATCAGACCATGGAACTGAATTTGAAAATTCAAAATTTGATGACTTTTGCACTGAGCACAGAATGGATCACAACTTCTCTACCCCAAGAACTCCACAACAAAATGGAGTGGTGGAACGCAAGAACAGAAGCCTTGAAGACATGACTAGAACAATAGAGCCATCTCAAGTTGTCTGCCTAGGAACTTCTGGGCAGAAGCAATGAATACAACATGTTATATTCTGAATAGAGTATCAGTTAGAGCCATCACCAACAAAACTCTTTATGAGCTGATCAAAGGGAGAAAGCCTAATATTTCTTACTTTAGATCTTTTTGTTGTAAATGTTTTGTTCATAACAATGGTAAAAGGAATCTAGGAAAGTTTGATGAACGTAGTGATGAGGCTGTATTCTTAGGATATGCCTCTAATAGTAAAGCATATAGAGTTTATAACAAAAGGACAATGTGTGTTGAGGAATATGTACATATTATATTTGATGAAACCGAACAATTGAATGATGTACAGGATTGTGATGATGATTGTGAAATTGGACTTGTACGCAAGACATATCTAGATGAAGAATCAACATCATTGCAGAAGCATCAAGTTGAAGTTGCAGAGCAAACGAATCTTGAAGCAAATGAAGGTCAAGAAATGGAGAACGCACCAGGAACTCCCCCTCAAGAACAGAATCTAAATCAGAATGAGGGAGATCCTGTAGAAGTTCCAGCTGAGACTCAAGAACGAGTTCCTACAAAAGAACCATTCAACAATGATCAGGAAAGATTGTATCCAGTCAAGGACTTTACACTTAAGCGATGGAAATATCAGAAGTCTCATCCTGTAGATGCAATTATGAGTGATATCTCAAAAGGAACTCAAGCCAGATCTCAACTTAGAAACTTCTGTGCATTCTATGCATTCCTTTCTTCTATGGAACCTAAGAACCATGTTGAAGCTTTAACTGACGCAGACTGGATTAATGCTATGCAAGCTGAACTAAAAGAGTTTGAAAGAAATAAAGTTTGGCATCTGGAACCTAGACCCAGGAATAAGAAGACTATAGGCTTAAAGTGGGTGCTTAGGAACAAGCTGGATGAGCATGGTATTATTGTCAGAAATAAAGCTAGACTTGTTGTACAAGGTTTCAATCAGCAAGAAGGAATAGACTATGAAGAAACATTTGCTCCAGTGGCCAGGTTAGAGGCTATTCTTTTACTTATTTCTTTCGCTACTTATATGGAATTCACGTTGTTTCAGATGGATGTTAAATGTGCATTTTTAAATGGATTTCTAAATGAAGAAGTCTATGTGGAACAACCTCCTGGATTTGAAAGTCAGGAGTTCCCAAACCATGTCTATAAGCTTGACAAAGCTCTTTATGGGTTGAAGCAAGCTCCTAGAGCATGGTATGAAAGGTTATCAAAGTTCCTTTTGAAAAATGATTTTAAACGAGGCAAAATTGATAAAAATTTGTTTTTGAAGTCAAATGGAACTGATATCCTAATTGTACAGATTTATGTAAATGATATTTTATTTGGTGCAACTAACGAATCTTTGTGCAAGTATTTTGCTGATTGACCTTATGAGTGGAGAGTTTAAAATGAGTATGATGGAAGAATTAAATTTCTTCCTCGGATTGCAAATCAAGCAAACCGAAGAAGGAATCATGATCGATCAACAAAAGTACATCAAGGAACTGATCAAGAAATACAAGCTTGAAAATGCTAAGACCAATGATACTCCAATTGGCTTAGCAACTAGATTGGATGAAGATCCAACCGGAACTTGTGTTGATCAACCTATGTATCGAGGTATGATAGGATCTCTACTTTACCTAACAGCTAGTAGATCTGACATATCTTTCTGTGTAGTTTGTGTGCTAGGTTCCAAGCAAATCCAAAGGAGTCTCACCTGAAAGCAGTAAAGAGAATCCTTAAATACTTGAAAGGAAATGATGACTTGTGTCTCTTCTGTCCTAGAAGTGACTCATTTGATATAAATAGCTATACTGATGCTGACTATGCAGGTGATTTGGTTAATAGAAAAAGCACTTCAGGTATGGTACATATTTTAGGACCTTGTTTAGTTTCTAGGGTTCCAAGAAGCAAAACACAGTTGCATTATCTACAACTGAAGCTGAGTATGTGGCAGCAGCAGCATGTTGTTCACAAGTACTCTGGATAAAGCAACAGGTTAGAGATTTTGGTCTTATTTTTGAATGTGTGCCTATTTACTATGATAACACAAGTGCTATATGTATTTCTAAGGATCCAGTTCAGCACTCTAAGGTAAAACACATCCACATTAGGCATCACTTTCTAAAAGATAATGTGGAGCAAGAGAATATTAAATTGGAATTTTGTAATACTGAATATTTTTACCAAACCCTTGAACAGAGAAAGATTTGAGAAATTGAGACTGGAACTTGGGATGATCAAGCTGAATTGATTGCTTCTGAAGTTCCAAGATATGGCAAAGTCAAAAATAATGTAAATAGAGCAAAAAGAGCATTTAGCACAATCTTGGTGTGCTAAACATAGCTGAAGTGTCACCGTTGTTGATCACTGGAGGTTAGTTCATTAAACGCTTAATTAAATTTGCTAGTAGTAATGTACATTGCATATGTGTAGAAAGCGTGTTCCAATTGCGTGTTTTATTTTCAGAAAGTTTTTTTTTTTGAAAATTAAATGAATTTGGAAAGAAAAGAATTTTGGTAAATTCATCCTGCCAAATTGATTTTGGAAAATTAATTGAACGTGTTTAATTAATGACTGCTCAGTAAACTCTTTAACGTCTTTACACCGCCTCATTAAATATAAAAGGCATCTTCATCCACCTTACATCATCACTGTCAAATCAATTTTACACCTCAATGAAAAATTTCTACAACCTTCCTAAAACCCTCAAGAAGATAACTATGGTCATAATCACCTCAATTGCCTCTTCCGAAAATTCTCAAAATAATCATCACTCTGACTAGGATGAAGTAAGTTCACTTCCAATTGTCACCTTCACTGAAACACAATCAATACCCCCTCTTTCAGACAGCATGAAAAATCCAAAACCCGCTGAAACCGAAAACCTAACCTATGAGCAAGTGATCGAAAAATTGAAAGAATGGAAAGAGAACCAAGGACAGAGGAAGACGGTTGAAGAGCACATTAAGGAAGTTGAGGATTTCGCTGAGAAGATAGGAAATTCTGATAAAGAGGAAACGGAGAAGGAAGAAGAAGAGGAGATCGCTGATCAAGATGAACTTGAGTCACAAGCAGGGAGGTATGTAGTGGGTTACAAAATTGATTTGAATTGGTGTAGACAAGCTAAGTTCCTAGAATTTCTTGATTTAATTAAATTCCAGGGGTGGGAATATATGTTGACTAAAGCCTAAGATAATTTCATGTATCCAATTGCAATGACTTAATTTTGTCAAAATTTTGAAGCAAAATTGGGGGGTAATTACTAGTGAAGTTGATGGTATTAAAATCGAACTTGATGTTGAAACTCTGGGTAAAATCTTGAAAACTCCTACTGAGGGATATGAAACATACATTAAAGGAAAATCTAGTGTGAAAGTGGATAATTATCTGAGTGGGGATATAGTTGAAGCTTTAGGAGGAAAAAGAGGGAAGAACATCATGAATCACAATGACCTAAGTCCTATGAACAAATTGCTGTTTAACCTTGTTAAGAAAACAATTCTACCTAGAACTGCTAAGAAAGGAGAAGCATGTTTAATGGATATGGCAGTAATTTTCTGCATTTCTAGGAAAAAAAAGGTTAATTTTCCCTCCTTAATGTATCAACACTTAGCACATTGTGCTCCTTGAAAGAAAAAAGTTGGATAAGTAGCTATTTTGTCTACTATCTTTGAAAGTATGGGTGTTGTGTTAAAAGGTAAGTATGGTGGTTTGGATGAAAAGCCAGAAAATGTAATAAATGGAGAAACACTGGTTCGTCTTAGTCTAGAGGTGGTGCAAGGGAAAATACAGAAGTTGGAAAAAGAAGAGGAGAAGAAAGAAAAGAGAACAGGAAAAAGAAAGGAAAAAGAAGTGGTGGAGCAACCTGTTAGGAAAAGTAGGAGGCTATCAACAAGTACTCTTCCTCAAACCAGTATGGAGAAACCATTGGAACTGGATACTGATGAGGGAGTGCTTGTGGGGAAAGTTGCAGAATTGGCAGACAGAATGGATCTGATTAAGAGACAGGCAAAAGAAGCTGCTGCAAAGAGTCATTTGTAGAAGCTGGAGAAGACTATGCAGGATCAGAACAAAGAGCTGAAAGTACTGAAAAAGCTGATCCAGGAACAGGACAAGATTATGAAGAAGCAACAAGATGAGTTCCAGGAGAAACTTAGGGTCTTGAAGACAAAATTGAAGCCCTGATTGCACAACAAAGAGAGGACAGTAAACAGATTATGGATCTTCTCCAAACTAAGCTTGTTATAAGCCTTAACCTTTCTAGCCTATCCTAGTTTCTTTTGCAGTCATGAACATTTTCAGTTTATGTTTTAATGCTTGAACAATTTATTTTGGTTTGTAAAAAGTTGTTCAGCGGGATGTTAATATTTCATTTTTTTAATGAATGCTTTTGGAACTGCCTATACATGTTTGTATGTGTATATTATGAATGCTTATGCAGGAAAGTTGAACTAACTCAAGGGAAGTTAGCAGTGCTGCCTTCAGTTTCCCACACTCGATGAATTACTTGTGGGGCTGTGGCTTGATGCTTAATAAACTTGAAAAAGCAAGACTTTTTGTTAATGCCAAAAGGGGGAAAAGAAGAAGCAAACTTGGATGTTGAAGTTGTTTTGGGTTCCAGTTGAGAAAGTATCACAAATTTCTCTGATATGATGCTATAGTAGTTTAGTTTTATTTTTGTTTAGTTTACTTTGTTTGTTTTTGTTCTTTTTGTTTTTGTTTTTATTTAAGTGTGTGTTTACTTTCAGTCAATAAACCAAAAACACAAAAATATGACCTTCTATGTTGTTTAACTTGTTTCTAGAGTTTGCTTAAGTTTGTCATCATCAAAAAGGGGGAAATTGTTGAAGCATAAAGGTTTTGATGATGAGGAACTTAAACTAAAGCAAACTCGACTAATAAAGGTTTTCAAGTGTTTGATTAGTTTAGGTGAAGTTGATCATGGTGATGGAAGAAGTAGCTGGAACTAAGAAGATATAAAGAGATCTTTATTAAAGAAGTTAAACAAATTAGAAGAAGAGTT